GTATTGTTCTATATTGAATTATGAGGAATTGATGGTCAATTGTGGTATATTGGATGTTGTCCTTGAATGGGCAATTGTAACCTAAGGTTTATGATGATGATGAAGTTGTGAATAGATTATTGACTCTAGTATTATATATATATATATATATATATATATATATATATATATATATATATATATATATATATATTTTGTAGATGTTAGAATTGTGAGGTTTGATCCCTTTGAAAGTGGGAAGGTGTTTACTTTATAAGCATGTTGTGATCATGCCTTATAGACAAAGTTGGATGATTGTTGTTTTGAGTAATGTTGATTATGTGAAGGTAATGTGATATGATGTGAAATTTGTGTATGGTCTAAGAGCATGAGAGGACTTTATGTGTTATGATTGGTTGTTGTCTTCTTTGAGGACTTATAATGAAGGTGAGGTTGGGATAAACTATGTTTACTCTCACCTAGTGAAGAATGAATGAAAGAATGTGAGAATGAATGAAAAGAATGGGAGTTAATGCTAATGAATGAACGTTGGGTCTATTGTAAGGATAGTGTCATAAAGTACTCCTTTCAAATGAATGAGGTTCCTAGATGAAAGGTTTTCTCATCTTTGAATCCAAGAGCTTCCTAAATGAATGAATGTTGGGCTAGGATGGGTACTCCTTCGTGAGTTGAGATGAGAGTACTTAGTAGCAATCTTTATCCCTAAATGAATGAATGAAATGAATGTCCAAACTCCGTAGGGGAGTAATGTCTAGCACCGAGAGGATATGAAGATGGGTGGATACTCCTTCGTTAGTTGAGATGTGAGTATTTAGTAGCAACCCTTAAGATGGGTGCCCCTTCGTTAGTTGAGATGTGGGTACTTAGAAGCAATCCTTCTATCCCTTAACTATGTGCCCACATAGGACTAGCTAGCGGTCTCTACCACGTAAAGGCTAAAAGAATGACCCTACCTTAGGCAAGTGGGGATCCCTCATTCGATAAGGGTTACTACCGGGATTCCATGTCAAACTCCATGGTCTATGTCGGTTAAGGCTCTGCCCCCCCCCCCCACATTAATGAATGAATGAACTAGGGTCTCTTAAGGGTGTACTACTTAGGATAGGTGGTGGAATGGGACATCATTTAGACATTGCACAAGTAGACATTTAAGGGAGATCTTGGTGTGTCTTAGTAATGATAATGAATGAATGAGTCTTATTGGGCTAATTAATGAAAGTGTTGGTCTTTGAGCATGCTAATGTGAAAGTGAGTCATAATGAATTGAATGTAAGTGCTTATGTTGAATTGAATGTATGTGATGATCTTATGTCATTAGTGAATGAAGTTGTATAAATGCATTAAGTTGAATGAACGCTTTATGTTGAGATGTGAATGGAGCTTGTCTTGTGTAGCCTTAAGGATCACTTGGGTGTGGTATGGAGAGGTAGTATGGGATACCTCACCATGTCTTACTTAGGTGAGTCTTGGGATGACATTTGATGAGTGTTCTAGTTTTATGAAGTGACTTGTTGGCTTATGTGTTTATATGTCTTATGTGATTAATTGGTGAAGGTTGAGGTATGCATGGTAAGTGCACTTTGTGTGACCTTAAGGTGGTGCCTTAGTGTGGGTGATGGTATGAGACGTTGCCCATACATTGCACAAATGTATTGCTTAAGGGTTACTTAAGGTGGAGGTCCAAGGCAAGAAGGTAAAGGTAAATGGGTTATGTTTGTTTATGATGTATTGTGAAGCATATGACTTTGTATTGTTGGTTGTGACTTGTAAGGTGCCCATTATGTTGATGTTCATGAGATTTTATCAAAATGGCATGAAAACATAAATTCCAAACAAATATCCTTTTTAGCATGTTTTGCATATCCTCATACTTAGTACGTGTGTTGTACTAACCCCTTTCTTCTAATTTACTACAAGTGTAGGTTGTGGTAACTAGGAGGAGATTGTGCTTTGGAGTTGCTTGAATTGCTTCACTCTTCCAAGTCTTTGGTATGTCCTCAAGATTCGAGGACTATGTTTAGAAGTTTCTTAGTCATTGTAATAGACACTTAAGTTTCATTTCATTTGTAAAGGGTCGTGTCCCTTAGTACGTTTTAAGTTCTTGTCTAAAATTGGCTAAAGAGACTTAGTAGTTCCGCTTCCGTATTGATGTTTTCAAATGTTGTTGACTCTTGAAGTCTTATGATTTTATTGAATAAAAGTTTTAAATTCTTAGTGATTTTTATGATCTATGTGATGAATGAATGCTAAGGCTTGTATAAGACCTCTGAGAGGTCGAATACGCATGTAATGGCTAGGGGGTGCTCTCGGGTCGTTACAAGCTTGGTGACCACCGCTAGGGAAGCCGCCGTAGTCGTCTTCCATGTGCCTGGAATTTCGGTGATAAGTATATTAGGTCTCTTACGACAATTGCTATTTTGCGCCATGACCGTGAGTTGAATCAACAAGAAAGCTTCGCTAAGATTTGTTTAAACAAAATTAATTTATTAAGAGAAATTAAAATAATAAATTACTGTTAACTGATTAGTTAAAATGAGTGTGTTTATATTATACTTTAGATTGTTTCTTTTATTGTATTTGAAATGGTCATCAAATTGCATTTCTCTACTTCATTCACGTATACAAGTTTCTGCAAATGTTTTTTCCTTTTTTTGGTTCAATATATACTTTTCAAGATGAAATGAGGGGAAAATAGTGAAATTAAATCTTTAAGTCATCTATGTGGAGTGTTTGACGTGCACATGTGGAGTTCATGTGACATTTTAGCACACACATGGATGCTTCCGTTAAACAGAATGGCAAGTGTGGTCTAATAGTTAGACGGGAAGGGCATTTTTTAGCCGAAATATAGTTTAAGGGTATATTTAAGTTATTTTGAATAGTTTAAGGATAGGTTTGACCCTTTAATTTTCCGTAGTCGGCTATGTGGAGGTGGGGTCTGTGTGGCGTGCATATGCGGCATCCATGTGACGTTTAACACACACATAGATACTTCCGTTAACCAGAAAGATAGGTGTGGCCCAATAGTTTGATGGGAAGGGTATTTTTGAGCCGAAATATAGTTTTAAGGTATATTTGAGCTATTTCGTATAGTTTAAAGGTAGTTTTGACCCTTTTCCATTTTTTAATAAGTGTGCCAAGTTAAACTTTACCAAGTAAAATGGGACAAAGGGAATAATAAATAAAGGTGTAATTACAATATCCCTATTTGAGTCAACTAGATTAATCTATGTATAATACTGTATTAAAAGTATACCTTTAATAATGCTGGTTAAACTTTTTATCCATTATTAAAAGTCCCTCCTTTAGACAAAAATGGTTTTCACAAAATTATCATTTACTATTTTATCATAATTTAAGAATAATAATAAAAAATAAGCTTTTGAAATATATGATCTAAAACAATATTTTTGAGCATTAAACCTCTATACAAAGTGCATTTTTTTTTATGCGTAGGGCAAATGCTTTTGTAGATTGGAATTCTTTTATATGATTTAGGCAAAAATAAGAATGAAATATTGACATTTGGGATCGAGCCCTGCTCAGTATTGTCTTTTGAGTCGAGTCTGTCGCATAGGGGTTTCCTAGTGTCGTTTATATCCCTTGTGTGATTTACAGGCTATTACACAGTGTGAGATTTACCTGGTGCGCACAAAGTGCTTACCAAAGAGTGCTCACCCGAAGGACAGAGATGAACTCAATTGTTTCTTGAAATGGACAGGGAACTCAAATTGGGTGCATGCAGTAGAATGGTCTGGGCAGAAAGGCTTTGAGGCTGCACCGTCTGTTTCTTTCACAGTAGACGGTGAGGAGAAAGGTGTTGAAAAGAAGTATGGACCACTGATGTTCCTCAAGGTCCACGATGCAGGTCATATGGTGCCAATGGACCAACCTAAGGCAGCACTTGAAATGCTTCAGAGGTGGACTCATGGCAACTTGTGAAGAATCAATTCAAGAACACATACACTGAAACAGATTAACAATTTACCAGCTTTATAAAATTAGCAAAACATAGAAAGTCATGTAGATATATTTCACCTTTTCAGGTGAATGTTCTTCTAAGATATTGGATTAAGCATTATGACATACAGTGAAACACACTGTTTACTCTCATGATTTGTTAATCCTATCCTGCATTCTGTTGATCACGCTGGTGTAAAAACAATTAATAATTTCAAACCTGTAAGGAGCACTGTGATCGAACAGTATTCAGGGGATAACAAAAGGGCATAAACAGGCAAGCCATTCAATACAAGAACTGACGAAACTAATTTTGATTCTAGCTTTAACTGATGTTAAGAACTGGCTTTTTCCGTATTTTCTGTGCCTTAACACTGATATGATCATATCCCAACATTGCGGGGAAGAAAACAGATTGATTTTTCCCCAGCAGCAGCAGAACATGTAACTAACACTTTCAACGCTGAAGTGAATTGCTCAATACTTGCAAATATTTCATACTTTTACCCCTTCAGTGGTGATACTCAAGCAGCAGGATCGTCAGTTAAATTTTCACAGTCAGAGGATAAACTTTTAAATAAACAGCTGGAACAATGCCCTGATTCCTCGGACTCTGGTACAGGTTGTGCATTGACATATTCTGCACTAAATATTGGACTAGCTTGAAAAAAACAAATATAGCCTACAGGTCCTGTATGTTCAACCAATTCAGCTAAATATAGACCTAGATGATTACACAGGATCCAGGTCCCCTATTCCTCTGGCTCTGAAACAGACAGTATCGACATACCAAGCTTGAAGAAAATTTCTCCAATTCGAACGACCATAAACTTGGACCCCATGCATTTCCGGTCTGTTAAACCAATTCATTTACATCAAGATTGTTTATTTATGTCTTAGATATCCTCATTGAGCTGAACATACTGAATGGGGAACATAATCACATGTTTATTGATGTTGTTAGATGGCACATCAAGCAAACTTTGATATGCTACCCAAGACTTAAATTTCACATTTCGTTTAAAGCTTTCACAAGATACATAACTATAATAATGGAAGCGCACCCCATGGTCTTCTAAGCTCAGAGTAGTGTTTAAAGGAGAAAACTAATATTTAACAAAAGATGCATTCATGTTCTTTTTGTCAATTGAACGATGGAGATGTACACAAACATTAAGGCTGCTCAAAAGAACATTTGACACACAAACACCTGAATGCAATAGCTATGAACCGCCTCTTGCTCGATATAGTTCCCTCAAGGTCTCGATCACAGGCTGAAAACCTGTCCGCAATGGAAAAACTGATACCACTCGTAGATGTCGTGCATTTCCATTCTTTGGTTGGGACAAGGTGATCTTCAACATCTCTCCCTCCAAAGCATTACCGGCAGACGCGGCTGCATAAAAGAATTCTCAAAAAGTCAGAATCCTCTTCATATGGCCCAACAAAACACTGTAAGATGCACTTATAAGATTCTTGGAAAAAAATTTATGGACCATGACCAAATACTCTCTCTTTTCCATTTAACATGAGAATTTTAAGATACTAATTGAACTTATATATTACATTTAGCAATAGTAGAAGAAAATAATAAAATGATTGTTGGAGTATAGTTAGATGGAGAAACATTGCAACAAAAATATGAAATTTGAATAAGATTAATAAATTAGAATACTTGAAAGTCAAGAAAGTCGTGTGGCAATAAAATAGTGCCAAGTGTCAACCATCTTGGGACATCTCCAAATAAAAAGAGTTATCCCATAAATTGGGACAGAGGGAGTAAGTGTCATTAGAATTTTCAATTCCTACAGAAACATTCCCCCGTCATCTCCTACCTCTTTCACTCTTTTTTGTTTCATAGAATTCCTAAAGCATAAGGAAAACAAAATTTAGAACTCATATTGATGACAGAGGCAAGTATAAAAAGTGTGCTTTTCATTTACTACTACAGTCAAACCTGTCTCTAACAACATTTCACTATAACGGCTAAGTTTTCTTTGGAACTGACTTTCATATTATATTTTAGTATACTCTCTACAGCATCTCATTATAGCAGCCAAAAATATCCTGCAAACAATGCCGTTGTCTAATTTCAAGCATAAGTGAAATTGCCATTGTAAACTGCAAACTGGAAGAGGTTGTTTCCGATAGACCCTCCACTCAAGAGAAGTGAAATCAAAGCCAGATTGAAAAGAAAATAACGATAACAAAATAGCAAGAGAAACAAAACAAAATAAGCCGCAGGAAATAGTAAAAACAACAACATACCAATGAAAAATCCCATTGGGTATACTAACTAATACTACTAAATGAGGAGAGTAGACTAGCCCATGTCTCAACCACATAAAAGTAAAACAACACTCGATTACTTACCTTCTAGCCTAATACTTGACCTCCATACCTTCCCAAATCTTCAATAAGCTGAAGATATGTCATGTTTTGTCTATTCACCTTTCCCAGTTCTTCTTAAACGTCCTTTTACCTCTCCTAAAACCCGCTATAGACTACCTCTCGACTACTCACTACCCTTCTAACCTAATTCTCGCCTTTCATACCTTCCTATGTAGGGTCATGTCGTAGTAAGCAAAATATATGTCATGTTCTCTCTAATCACCTCCCTAGTCCTTCTTAAGCCTACTTCGGCCTCTCCTTGTGTAGGGTCATGTTGTAGTAAGCAAACTATGTGTCATGTTCTTTCAAATCACCTCCCTAGTTCTTCTTAAGCCTACTTCTACCTCTCCTTGTGTAGGGTAATGTCGTAGTAAGCAAAATATGTGTTTTAGTATATTTTATCTAATCACCTCCCTAGTTCTTTAAGCCTACTTCTACCTCTCCTAAAAACCTCTATAACCAGCCTATCACACACCTCCTAAATGATGCATCAGTGCAACTTTAAAAGATAAAAAAGGAAATTAAGAGGGAAAAAGGGAGATTAATCAAAGTTACCAGCAAAAGGGTGAGTCTTGGCAAAATCAAAGAACTCATCAGCAGAACAACCAAACAAAACCCTAGCCGCCCTATCAAACATTATCACCACAACCACTCTTTTCTCAGTAGCTATCGACATCTATAAAAAAACCCAAAATCACCCACAGAAAAAAATCAAATCTTTGACAAAAACCAACAAAAAAGCATCAAAATTGCACACAACAACACAAAAAGAAAAAGAAAAATTCACGTACAAGAACACGAAAGAGGCGTTTGGAACCATAAGAAGCAGAGTTAAAGTTGCAATTTTTGCAAAAGGGTATTGAAGATGATGATGAAGAAGAAGAATTGGGGATATGGGTATTTGGAGAAGGTTCAGGTAGAGTCTTTTCACATATAGAACAGACTGTGTAAAAGAGATTGTTGTGATCAATGGCTACCACCATGGAATTTAGTGTTATTGGTTGTTTATCATTGTTAGGTTCTTCTACTAATGGTCTTTTTCTGGGATTTGTTTGGCTGTTGTTATTGTTGCTTTCTGGATTCATTGATGGAGTTTTTATTGTTCAGAATATTCAGTTTGTTCAAGAAAATGGTATAGTGGACTGGAAGGTGAAAGACTCATGCTATGAGTAAAAAAGCACTTGGTTGGGGAATGGTGTGTTGGGCAAGGAAGAGAGGTACAAATTCTATTTTTTTTCCTTTCACAAAATAGGTTTTTAATATATTCAATGTAATTATATAAATGCCATCAAAAGAAATAAAATGAAAACTTATGGATTGACTCCATCATCTCCATTCGATAGGGCAAAAGAAAATAATGGAATAATAGTGAGGCTATACATATTACTCCTCAGATCATTATGAAAAGTCCGGTAAAAGTTTTGGACAAAAGTGTCTGAAAATCATATCATCAAAAAAATTATTTGACTAACAGACACAAAAAACTGAAAAAATTGTCTAATTCCTCTTCAATGGCCCATAAATGCTAAGAAAATGGCATGGATCATAGTGATGCTATACAAATTGTTCCCTCAGGTCATTACTGAGGGTCCTGTAGAGGTTTTGAAAAAAAGTGTCTGAAAAACGTATCACCAAAAAATTCATTGACTAACTCACACGAAAAACTGAGAAAATCATCTAATTCATGTTGTGTGTCCCCTAAATGCTAAAAAATAGTGTGGATCATGTTGAAACTATACGTATTGTTTCCCCAAGTCATTACGTAGGTTCCTCTAAATTTTTTGAAAAAAAGTATCCAAAAACCACCAAAAATTTAATTGACATTACACACAAAAAATTGTGAAAATTACCATATTCTTGTTGAATGACCCCTAAAAGCTAAAAAAAAATGATGTGAATAATGGTGAGGTTATACGTATTGTTCTCTGAAATTATTCTGGAGGGTCCTCTAAAGGTTTTGGAAAACAAAATGCCCAAAAATTATATCACCAAACTTATTGACTAACACACACGAAAAAACTGAGAAAATCGCCTAATTCCTCTTGAGTGATCCCTAAATGCAAAAATAATAGCGTGGATCATAGTGAGGCTATACATATCATCCCCTTAGCTAATTACAGAGGTTCCTATAAATGTTTGCAAAATATGCGTCTGAACTCCATATCACCAAAACAATTCATTGACTAATACACACAGAAAAATTAAGAAAATCGTCTATTTTCTGTTGAGTGGCCCCAAAATGCTAAAAAAATGGCAGGGATCATTGTGAGACTCTACGTATTGTCCCCCCAGGTCAATACGTAGGGTCCTATTAAGTTTTAAAAAAGAGTACCCGAAAATTCACCAAAGAGTTCATTGACAAACACACACAAAAAACTAAGAAAATAGTCTAATTCTTGTTGAGTGACCCATAAATGCTTAAAAATTGTGTAGATTAGGGTGAGACTATACGTATTCCCCCCACCCCCACCCCCACTCCCATGTTATTACGGAGGGTCCAATAAAGGTTTTGAAAAAAAAGTGTCCGAAAATCATATCACCAAAAAATCATTGACAACACACACACAAAATTGAGAAAATCGTCTAATTTTTGTTAAGTGGCCCCTAAATACTAAAAAAATAGTGTGGATTTATGTGAGACTATACATATTATTTCATAGGTCATTACGGAGGGTCCTGTAAAGGTTTTGGAAAATATGTGACCGAAAATCATAAATAGAAAAACTCATTGACTAACACAGAAGAAAAATTATGTTTTATCGTTATCTAAATAAAAAATTAGTGATGAGTTTACTCCGATCTTATATTTATAACATAAATTGTCCGTTAAAAAGCTACATGAATTTATTCAATTTAAATGATAAAATGAGATTAAGAAGAAAAAATTATTCTCTACGACTTTATTAGTTAAAGTGACTTTAAAAGAAAGACAACAAGAATATGATTTTTTGAATGTAATATTTTTATTAGGAAAAAAATGTTTTAAAAGAAAAGTAATAATATACTTACTCGGAAAAGGGAATTTTTGATCCATTTAGTAACCGTAGGGATATTTCTGGACCAAAGTGTTAACGACAAGAGTAATTTTGAATCAAAGTATTGACAGTAGTGCACTTATGACCAAAGTATAAATGAGAGACATTTTTGCCTATTTCACATAGTTTACGGACATTTTTTTTATATATCATTTTTAGTATATTCTAACCTACAAAAGTGCTAACTTATAGGATTCAAAATTTAATTTCAATCTATGATGTGTATTCTACTTAATTTGAAATATTACATTGAATTATCTATTACAACTACTTTACTTGCCTTGAAATATATTTTTTATTTTTTCCTAGATTGATAAAATCATTTTTCATTCTTTTTATAGTTCTTACTATTAAATACGAATATTTAAAAAGAAAATCCTCAATCTTTTAAATTGAAGTTTTTTGTCGTTATTCTTTTTCCACTTTTCCATTGCCATAATATAATTTGTAAGAAACTAAATAAGGGTGCTACAATGTTGACAACTTTTCTCATTTAAAGATTTCAAAGTCCTAGAAATATAGGCATATATGCTCCTCATTCTTTCACTATATCTCAAGATTCAAAGGTGATTTTTTTTTTTGTGCTTTCATTTCTCACATACACTCGAACCTATTTTCTTTAGGAAGCAAAGAGAATACAACAAAGTGTGTTCTTCCTCTGATACTTTCAAGAAGCAAACGAGAAGACGGACACAATTTTTCTTGTGAAGAAAATGCTTTTCTATGAAATTCAGACTTTTGATGCCAATGCTTGCACACACATTTGAAACGCAAGAATGTTTCCACATGCAATTTCATTAGAATATCAACTACTAGATCTTCTGGTAAAGAACCATGATTATTTAACTATATTTCTCATAACATCTCTTGTCATCATATATCTCCTCTTGTCATTAGATTCATATAAGATATTTCGTGCAAAGAATTGTTATACTGATAACTTCCTACGGGCAATTACTGATCTGTTTGTACTTTAAATGATAAATTGTACCGATCATGAGTGCTAACAAACTGTTTTTCATTTATCTCATTATTCAAAATGGAGCTATCTTCATCCTTCACTGACAATTTCATTTTTATGAAGTTTGACGTTGCAGACCTTGATGGCCTCTACATGTTCTGACTCTCTTCGTAAATCTCTTTTCCCTTTCTCTTAGAATTATTGGTTCTAGGAGCGCCACCAATGCTAAAAGAAAAGGAAAAGAAGTTTATGAAGAGAGAAAAAACATGCAAAGAACATCAGGGTCCCTGACATCAAATTTATATTTTATGAAATTGCTAGTGAAGGCGATGACAATAACTCTATATCGACTAATGAGCTAAATGAAAAGCAGTTTGTGAGTATCATGATCATATACACTACAACAAATATGATATATAGCTACGAAATTATTAGCTACGACATAAAATTCGTCATTAATTGTTCACTTTTAGTGACAAAAATTACTTTTCGTGCTGAAATGTACACGGCAGATACTTTTGGTGACGAAACATAATAGTTCGTAGCAAAGTTTTGTCCACTAAAGTTTCCCATCAAAAAATGTATTGGCGCTATTTATTGAGTATTGTCAGTCACGAATTTAAAGTTACCAGTGACACATTATTTCGTCAGTAATGATGTTTTTAATTTGTGACATATTATTTTTGTCTTAAAATTAATTAATTTTTAGACACAAAATAATTTCGTCAAAAAATATTCTAAATTTTAGCTATAAAAATTTAGATTTTATTGTAACATTTATTTTCGTCACTATTAATATAAACAATTGGTGACAATTATTTTATTGTCTCTAATCAACCTACGATTTAGTGACAACAAAAAATTGTCACAAAATATGTAAGGTATTAAATAGCGACGACTTAGAATTTGTAGTTGAATAATTCAACTATTTTCTAAAAAAATTCATTTACGATTGCTCATAATTAGAGAATTTCATAAACGGTCCCTCAACTATTAAAGTAGGTCTAAAATTGTCCTATAACTATACATTATCATATTTAGTCCTTTAACTATTCAAAATATTATCATGTTTGGTCTCTTAATTATATACCTATCATTGTTAGTCTCTTGACTATGCATTTACTAGTTTTAGTCATTTAAGTATTCAATAATTTATCATGTTTGGTCTCTTGACTATTTTTATACAAATAGAACTCATGTCTATGTGAAATTAGGTCTTTAACCCATATTTTAGTTGTTTCTCTTTCCCACTACTTTTTCTTCAAATTACTCTGAAGAAAAGAACTTTACCTCAATGATTGAAAACAAAATTCACAGTAAAAGAAGATACAAGTCCTGATTCTTATTCAATGGAAGATGAAATGAAATATATTATTGCTACTAATGACTTGAGAATGCTAAAGTTTATTATAAAAAGAAAAATGTTAGTTGTAGAAAGAAATTTATTTATATTTAATAGAAATTGAATTTCCTGCAATTAGAATAAAATTAAAAAAAAATTACTTTTATATTTTGATTCCAAATTTTGTACTCCAACGATGTTATTAACGGAAATTTATTTGATATCTTAGAAGCTGAATTTATAAAATGGTAGATTTTCCACCATTTTTAAGATTTTTTTTTATTTTGAAATATATCAATTTTATTATTCTGTTCATTTGATTTTACGTAGAGAAATTGAATAATAATATCAAATCTTTTATTTATTTTATATGAAAAAATGAAAATTGAAATAAACTAAAAAAAATGAAAGCACAAATGAAAAAAATTAACCAACTAAGATTTTGAATATATTAAGATAAAGTACTATCATTGTGGGTATCAATATTTTTTTTAAATTTGATTTACCGATCGAAGTGAACTGAGTATTAATTAGTATTTCTTTTAATAAAGTCGAAAGTTTAATTTTATATAACTTTATAATTATACTGAATATTTTTTTAATTCAAAATAGTGTACACACTTGTATATATACGTGTATAATATTGTACAAAAGGTGCTTATATAAATTTTTATATTGTTATACATAATTAAACAACACATACACAAATCAATTAGATAATTTTTAAATAATGTACCTGCACTTTATAAGTGTGTATAAACATTGATTATATACAATTATAATATAGGACACCTTTCA